ACATGAAGACAAAGCACTTGTATACATAAAATACATGAATAAATAAATCTTCAAAAAATATTTATTTTTGAGACAAGGTCTCTCTACATAGCCCTGGCTGTCCTGCAACTCACGATGTAGACTAGGATGGCTTTCAACTCACAGAAATCTGCTTGCCTCTGCCTTTTGAGGGCTAGGATTAGAGGTGTGTGCCACCACACTAGGTTGTGATTTCTTTCTTTCTTTCTTTCTTTCTTTCTTTCTTTCTTTCTTTTTTTGTTTGTTTGGTTTTTCGAGACAGGGTTTCCCTGTGTCTTTGGAGGCTGTCCTGGAACTAGCTCTTGTAGACCAGGCTGGTCTCGAACTCACAGAGATCCGCCTGCCTCTGCCTTCCAAGTGCTGGGATTAAAGGCATGCGCCACCACCGCCTGGTGGTTGTGATTTCTTTATTTTTGTTTTATGTGAATGGGTGTGTGGCCTGAATGTATGCCCATGAACCATGTGCATACATTACCCCCCAAAGCCAGAAAAGGGCGATAGATCCCCTGGAACTGGAGTTGCAGATAATTGTGAGCCACCATGTGGATCCTGGGAATTGCACCTGGATTCTCTGAAAGAGCAGCTCTTAACCCCTGTGCCTCTTAACCCACAATGAACTTCAATGTGAATTTTGGCGGGGACATTTAAGGACAGTGCACCATGATGGAAGTGCTGAAGAGATTCACCACAGCAGGAAGCCACCATCTCCTCTGGGATGGAGATTAGGTGGCACTGCAAAGCCTGAGTGGGGTCACATGTGGGACCACATGGGCTTGTCCAACAGTGGTGAGTGCTGTTCAGGAGAACACATTTTTTTGTCTGGGTGTTCTGGAGAAACTCATCTGGCACAGTGTCGGGAGCCGAGAAAAATTCCATTAGAGGATTTCTCAGGGTCCAAACCTCTGGAGCTCAGGAGCTCTGTCTGCATTATATTGTGGACACTAGCTGATTTGCTGTTGAATGGCATAGCCTCAGTGGAGAATGTCCCACAGAACTAAGCATTTGAATAGGCCTGCACCTGGGCAGAGGGCCAAGTCTACGTGGGTAGAGACTGTTTGGGGGTTTCTGTTGAGAGGGCCTAGAGAGAGAGGTTCGGGGAATAGTCTCTGCTGAAGGGACCAGCTTCCCTTTTGGCAGCCCTAACAGCCGGACACGTGCTT